AACAATAACATGGATGAACAGTTGCCTCTCATGCCTGTACTTCAGTATTTCGAACTACTGCTTCAGCGAAAAAAATAAGTTGATCAAATAACTCTTAATAGTAGTAATACTCAAGGATCTGCAAAGACGCTATACCATTAAATCTCTTATTGCAGTCAGCTCGAGAGGGATATCTGGAACTGATCACAAGGGGCGTAACCTAACAGAAACAACTAAAGAATATCGAAAGTGAAAAAAACAAGTAAACGATAATGGAATTGCTATACTATCGTGCTGACATTTTATTTGCCAGCGGTTTATATATATATTTATATACCGTATATTAGAGAGACGACATGATACCCGAATGAGCCGAAGAATAGCTCTTTTGCGTAGAGGAAATAAACGAAAGGTTTATATATATATAGACTACTTTAATGTTTCAATTTGGCACGACAGTTAAGTTTACACACATCGATAAAGATCTTCATTCACTTTCTAAAAAAGCAACATTAGCAAATAAGCTTTAGGGTTTGCTGGAAACAAGAATCAAAAAGGTGGCTATTATTGAATATTGGACATAACGAAACTATCTCTCAACCCGGTACGACTCAAGCCGTCTATTCGTCCGTAAAGTAAACGAATCCTAGAAGGGAATAGCAAGCTACAAACAATTCAGAAGGGGGTCATCAACGAGGCTCATTTTCGAACTCAGCATTTCTCTTCCGGAGTTTCTTGAAACCGGCTTATGGTGTTTTTAGTAGCAGAACCTTCATCAAATAGAAGGTTTATATGGTGAGCTCTCCCCGTTGCTGTAGATCCTCATATATGGACGGAACTCATATTTGTCACCCATTCGAATTCGCTAACTATGCGTTGTGCACTGGAAATCGGAACGACGATATCCGAGTGAGCAGTCACAAATTTAAAATCTTTAAGAAACTAGCATCTAGTAGGGAAAAAGAAGGGACAAGAAATGCTGTACCGTGATCGAATGGCGTCGCTCTTTGTATTGACCGATACGATCATTGGAAAGTGTAATAGTATATGTTAGTCATAACTGTGCCAAGTAGTGCCCTGCATGTGTTAAAGAAGGACCATGTAAAAAGGCTGCGCCTAGCAAAAAAAGACAAACAATGATATCGCTACGGCCTATTCTATGCTTCGACATCAAAATTATCGTTGTACGAAGAGCGTGCGATTGACCGATGTGTAGGTAGGTCCTTGGCTTCCGTGGTCGATGTTAACAAACAATCAGGAGTTAGCGAAGCACAATCTGCTACGGCCAACTACAAACAAATCGCAAAGTAACGTCGCGGACGGGGCTGCTGATGCTGAAGCAAAGAGTTCAAATGTAATCAGTCGGATTGAGCCCCTGAGTGCGAGTGATTTTCAGTAACGTATCGGAGAAACGATCCGGGCAGAACAGCTCGTCACCAGGAATAGCTTGTTTAACTTTGCTAGCGCTTTCCCTGGAAAACTGGTGAAATCGGAATTACAAACAATGTATAGACATGTCGTCTAACGAAAAAAAAAAGTTCCGTCGATAGATTTTTTCGAGCGTATTCGCATCTAATTGTGCTGCTAATTCCAGCCGAGGTTCGACCTTGGTATCACCGGCTGCAACGATCTCCGCAAACCCTAAAAATTTCGTAGATTGATTAGTTACTTGGAAGGCGTCAGCAGGCACTGGCATAAATAACGTTTCCTTATGTTGGCTCTGAGTGAGTGAGCGAGGAGGTCTCGACAAAATCTGCATAAATGCGTCCAAGACCCTACACATACACATCTATATGTGGAAAAGGGCTGATGCGGTTTGTATATCAGGCGGATAACGAATGATGGCTATAAGCTTAGATCTGTGATGAAAGACAAATCGAAACAGGGGTCCCTATTGGATAGCGGCCACAATCACACACCGACAAGATAAATAGAGGCTTGTCAGTTTTACACGATTGATTTAACGCTTATAAATGCATATTCGGGCCGAGCGTATTGAACGGAGGACTGACAAAGGATAATCTTTGTCTGTAAGAAGACAGCGTCATTTTTGCTCGGCAGAATGTTTACTTTGTGTTGCCTGAGACACCGAACAAATAAAGTGACTAGCAAAAGTTGATATCGGTTATCAAACAGGCCCGACAATATAACAATATATATTTTCTACAATGAAGCCTATAATGTGTATGTTATTGTTGCGCTCGATGCTCACTGTAACAGATGAAAGCTACTGGTGAAGTTTCAGGCAGTAAAACAACAGAGCACCAAAAAAAGCCGTTTCGGTCGTAAATGGCTCTAGCACCGTTTCAATGGGACAAATTTATTGTCGTCCTATTAACTCGAGCAAGTAGCTCCAATATTTCTATTATCTATACTGAATATATAAGAGGATCGGGTTTAGTCCAGTGCAGCGGACAACGGATCCTTTTGCGTAAAAAACTCGTCGTAAACCGAAATGTGTTACTTTTCGAAATGAAAAAAATGCGTTCTTATGTCTGATATCAAATTGCTTTTATCGCGCAACATCTACCAATCCAGCTGTCTTTGCTCCTTTTCACTTCAGGATAAACGTGGATTTATCCTATCTTACTCGATTGAGTATATCCTGAAAACGTGCAGATCTGAGCCAATTCAAAACGATATACTACTGTGGCGTGACGGGGACCTGAGCAGACACTAAATGGACGCTTCTGTGATGAAGTAACATCGGCTGTCTTCGGCACTATCTACTTGTTAACGAATGCTGATGCTGCGCAATCTCTTTCAGCAGAGTGATGTAGAATCGATCATGTGAGCGGTATTTGCTTATCAACTGGGTGGTTTACGGAGTGTGTTATCCCGTTTTATGTCCGATAAAATTTGCCATTTTACCAACGATTCGCAAGGCCTACCGCGGACAAATAGGACAGCTTCTGTGAAAGCTAATCATATTTTGCTAGCTTGTCAACCTGCATATGTGTGTGTATGTTGTTCGACGGACAAAGGACTGAAGCTGACAAGGGTTTAAGCGAACTATACACAGGCCGGTCTGGCCTGATCTATGCCTAGCGTAACTTAAAGATCGTCCAGCCCCATTCACTGACATTGCGTACATTAAGCAATCATGAGGATATTAAGTAATTAATATATTAAGATATTAATTAAGACGATGATATTTTCGCTTCTTAGAAACGTTCTTCTACATGATAAATAGTATGGGGTCAGATACGTTGTCCTCTTCTGGTGCCACGCGTTCGGAGACGTTGTGGGCAAGGTGACAACCAGTGTTTGAGCAGTTCGCCACCAGTATGACCATATAGGCATCGCTTCAAGACTCACCTATACCACGGTATACAACGAGACAATCTGCACACGAAGTGTATTACGGAGTTTCCACTAATCTATAGATCATGTCATCGAGGTGGCGCGCTGCGTAAACACAAGGAATCAGGGTAGATCACCTTTCGAAACTTGTAGATCACACCAAGAGTCTCTTATAGCCTTCTTGCCATAGATTTCAAAAATGACAAGTGTCTATTATCTAATTCGGTAGCCATAAATCATTTTATAGCATTCTTTAAAATATCACTTTATACCTTGTTATCTAATTATTACTGAAAATCTTTGGAAAGGACCAGCCTGCTGCTTTTCGAAAATGACACCTAGCTGAATGTTTGATCGAGCTCCATTGTCCCCTCTATTCGTATCGTTCGTATTGTTTGAACCATCGATTCTGGGCTTTGGCATAAGCTTATCCGCTCAAGCCATTGTGTCTATATTTTCCCGTACCTATCTCGAGCGTCTGTATCAGCAACATCTAAAAGATGTTTGAAAACATGCGTAATTTATTTTTTTTTTTTTAATCATTTATATACACAGCAGGTGTCAATAAACCAAGACATTTTAACTTTGTTTGCAGACAGATTTATCGCTCTTGGCATTGTCAGACGGCGTGGCCCAATGAACGAACAACACTGTCTATGCTGATTCCCACTCAGTTCTTTGTTAACCGGTCTCGGCTGCTTCAATAGGATGCACTGTTGTGGACGTCCTACCAAAAAAACACGTGAAGAAGTAGTATAAACACTACTAACACTTTGTAATCGTTCTCGCGAACTGAGAGGATACAGAAGATATCGTGCATCGAGTGTCGAAAAAACTGAACAGAATAAAGTAGTTACGATAGAGAGTTCGCAGTTGTATAGCTTTTCAATGCAAAACAAAGTTAGCTGAACTGAAGGTATGGCCAAGTTTGCCGGCAACATTCTAATCCTGGAGATGTTGGCACAGGCAATCCTTGATGTCCCGAAGCTACTGACAGTTACTGGTTTTATGTGGTTATCGCTAAAGCTGTCGTTACCAGCTTCAGTACGACGATTCAAACGCCGGTTGAGCGATGTCAATTGATATAAGTAGTGATTTCTGCATTTATGTTCTAAGCTAGGATTATGTCCAGTTGAACAGGAATGCGGATCGATACGCAATTTCTAGATACATTCTTAAATTCAACGCCGAAATTCAGATCTCAGGACCTTGCTTACTTACATCTAATTAGAGGTCTGGACTGTTAAAGTTTAATCAAACACAAGTTAGGTCTGGTACAGGACAGCCTCATATCGGCACGTTTTTTTATTATTTATGCCCGTAACTTCGATCACTGAATATTCGCCTTTTTCTTTTCTACTTCCAACAGATACTTGATCCAATAATGCTGGACGGTTTGGCGATAATTATACACAAGGAGAAAGTCACCGAGGAGAGTACATCAAAGAACAGCATCACTGCCCTTCGGACCTGTACTACCCATCTGGAAAAATTCGACCGAAAGGTACTTTCGGTATTTGATAATAAACGCTCAAGAACGTAAAACTAGATTATATCAGATCACAGGAACGACGTACCCGTACTGCACATAGACACTCTGAAGGACGGAACCAGCTTCTTTCACCTCGACCTTTTTCGCCTGTTATAGGCCAACATAGGCGTCAAGCCGAAGTGAGCCCGTTCCGCCTGACGCATCAGCCAGTTCGTCATCGAAAAGATCCTGACAACAGAAACAGCATTCTGTTTGTTTGTTTGCGCACGGGTCAGCTCAAGCCAACTGTTACTTTCTATTCCGCTGATGACGGCGATTGCTACAGCAGTCGTAACAGTGAAGTCGCTCAGACAACGATGCTTTCAGTTTTCATTGCTTTTTCTACCTAGAGCCATTACGCAGAAGCGCGAGTCACGTCCTCTGATCGTACTGAGATTTGTACCGTAACGCCGAACTGGCGACCAAATAGGCAAAATAGATTGCTTTTAAGACTATGGATACTCAGAGAAACTTAACTGTTAACAGAAAAACACGACAACATGTATAATTTTGCGGCATTGTTCTGAAGGGATAGTCTTCACCCGTTCATATAGGGTGCATGCCGGTATACGTGATGAGGTGCGTATCCAATATTAACTCAGGCACAGATTCTAGCTGGATTACGCTCTCTCTTTAGTTTGATCAAAACATGCGTGTCAACGTTTTATGATACGTGGCATATGGTGCTATAACATGTTAGTGTGAAAAGCAGGACGACTGACTTATTTTTGTAGCTGTTCTGTACTGCAATACACGTTTGTTCGCTGTTTCACGCATTTGAGCCTGACAGGTCGAACTTTACGTTGCATCAAGGACAAGCAGAGTCGACACGGTTCGTCACAGATGGAGATTATGTGCTGCTTGCACAGTCTGTGCCCGCATAGGGCCAAGCACGGACAGCATATGAGATAGCGATCTGTCTGCATTCATACTTCGTCACGATTTCACCACATAAATATGCACACGCTCACACAAATACCGATGCACCAACAACCATTTTACCTTGACGTATTAAGCCAGTTTTAAAAGCACGCAAATACAACAATTCCAAGCAGAAAAATAAGCGAAATAGATTTATAGCTGCTCATATGGTGAGCAACAGATTCACCCATATATCTCGAGTATTTGTATCAGTTACACAATGTAATTCGCTTCGATGGGAGAGATACGATCCGTACTAGAACTAACATTCCGTCTGGCCGCAATGGCCTTTGACCGTTTTTCATAGGTACATAATCTCATTACAGGTTCATCGACGATGCTAAGTTCTACAGACAGCCATGGTAGGTTCTAGTGCCGCTGTCACTGCCCGGGGTATTAATGAGTGACCAGTCGTAATCTATTCTCCCGTTATGTTGTATTCATTTCTGTGCCTATGGAACGAATAAATAAGTCACTGCTAAAGTTCAGATATGGCGCTGTCCAAAAGCATCGGCAGGCCAAGCGAAAGATGGGAGGGAGCATCGCGGAAAGCGGACGATCAGCCGTGTCCGTTTAGGCCAATGTACTTTCGTAATGGTCACAATATTGAAATTATACCAATAACAAGTACAAACAGGGAGACACTAAAGACAGACCCACGCTGGCTAAAACAGTAGCGACGAAGATATGCAGTCTGTCCCTTGTAGTGCTAATCAAGTAGCGGATCGAACGGCAAATCTTTGAATTTATAGATAACGTAAAAGACATATTTAGAAAAATTACGGGAACACACACACACATACATACATGCGAATTCGTCCGACTGTCTCGTTAAATTCAGACCTGCCGATGGCGGTATCTGTAAATCTATTAGTTTCGGCCTAAGCATGAATCCTGTGTGGATGTATTCCTTTAACAGAAATATAATTAATAGATAATTGCGGAAAATATGTAATTTGTTTGAATATGTTGCTGTTACACTGGAGACTGTGTAATTGTGCTCTATGATTACCTGCCATAACGATCATCCGGTAGATTTCCAATGTATAATTGGAATATTGTAAAATAACGTAGACAATTATGGTGCGTGCTCCTATTGTGTACTATCATTTAGGATGTCATCAGGTAGAATCGATTTCGATGTACACTCAGGCGGCAGAGAGGCGGACGAATATGGAAAAAATACAGCACATGATTCTCAGGTAACTGCGAGTGGGTAATAAAAAAATGTCTGGTTTTTACCAAATTGGTTTGGTCGAATAGATTTGAAATTAAATTGTAATTTATATATGGCATAAGTTGTCCCTAGTAGGCTTGCTCATAGCCGCTAGTATAACCCGTATCATAAAGCTGCCATAAAAATACTCACTTGATGAAATAGTAAAACTAACCCTCTAATGCGAAATAGCTTTAGCATACGCTGCTAAATCCCATCATTTTGTTTCGAGAATCAGGCCTGTTTCAACCATAGTCGATGCTACTAAATATAACTCAATCGATTCTCGTAGTAGTTTTGCTTGTAATTAAAGATAACTTTCAACCTAATTTCTAGGAAAACTACACCTATCGAGTGCATCCGAACCTGCGACTAATGTAGGCCGTCAATCAACAGACGCCGACGGTTCGCGTAACTATTCCACCGTTAAATATACATACGATGCGTATCGACTGACAAATGAGAGCGGCCTAGAGCTTAATCATATCAAACTAGTACCTGCGCGCCATAATTAGATAAGGCATTGAAGGCCAGCGGCAGAAATCACTACGCTATAAACAAAGATATTGAATATCGCTCAAAGGAAGAGACTAAAGGCGGGTGCATGTTCCCCTGCAGCAAAAATGCGTCATCAAATTACGCCAAAGAGATTTACATCATGTATGTCAGCTTTCTGTACAGAGTATTTAGTCGTGGGCTGGGTCAGACGCAGAGTCTAAGATGTTTCGTCGTGGATTTGAGGAAACGGAACCCGGCAATAGCGTGAGTTACGCATTGGTCACCGATCGCCACCGCTACCCACTGAACAACCGAAATTGGCCTTGTTAACATGAAACTACTGTCCCGTCATCATGTAAACACCATTATGAGAACTGTGCGAATATTTAAGCCACTTCTTTAATAAGCAGTTGTTTACACCTCCTGGAGACCTGAGAGTCTATGCAAGAGTCGTTGTTTCAGTAAAAGACCTAACAGCCAATAGGGGCGGAAGGACTTGTTGAACAAAGATGTTGCTTAGCAAAAACGCACGAGCAACTCTTCAGTGCATACGTTTAACAAACTCTATGTGAGTGTCAGGCAATCGTTTTTCTAGCCATGATCCTGAGACCGGCATAGGATCTGATCTAGAAAAGGCCGCATAGGCGGTCGAAAACACAATAAGGCTATTTATCTTGTGAAGCCAAGCCAGTTAACTGAAGTGAGCGTCAATATCGTTTTCAAGACGAAATACATCTAGGCGTAAAAAACGTCTTTGGGATAGGACGGGCAACGGCTCAGACCATTGTTTATCTCACAGAATCCGAGAACTCTATGAACACTAACAAAATAAAGATTTCGAAAATGTAGAGTATCGATAGGACCGCTTAGGGTGGCATCCAACCATATTAATCGCAAACGCCATTCTGCACGATTTCCCGCCTCGCATTAGGTGAGAGTATATAACTCAAATGATAAATCAGACGAAACGAAGGTGCAAGTACTTGCAGGAATTTTATAGATGAAAGGTCTCCACACATTATCGCTATGTCAAGCTACTGCTGTACTCTTCTGGAACGAACACTCCGAACACACCAGGCATCACCTCAATCTCCGACTGCGGCGGTCCTATATTAAAATCAAGTTTCATGAGATCATTTTGGTACTTAGCTTTCTATTTGTTTCCAAATCCACATCAGATCGAATATTGACCAGTATCCGTTGAATATATATATATATATATATTGAATGTGACTCCATCACTTCAAACTATGGACATATTTCTAATTATTATCTTGGCCTAATCTGTGAATGCTGCCCCAGGGCATTTATGAGAGTATAGTGGCCATATAGCGGACATTTAAAACGTGACTTCTTCTGGAGAGTCAGTCGACTGATTTTCATACGGTTTGTACGAGGTGAAAAACATTTGTTAGATTTACTCTGTTTATATCGAGAATAATGTTTGTGATATATTCATTGAATCGAAGCGCCTTATCATGTCCGCAAGTTAATTCAGGTTGTAAAGGGTCGACACCTAGATAGGACCATTTGATTCCAATGCGGGAGTAACATCCGTAATGGACGACATCGAACGCCGGTCACTTATCGAACATTTCCGGCGCTTCCAACGCAAAATCTTCCTAGAGTTCCAACTTAATGCCGCATGATCTTCTGTTAACGATCCCTGAACCGATTTTTTTTCATAGCTAGACAGCATATGGTAGTATAGCGACCAGGACAATCGACACTGACTCCAATTTCCAACTATGCAATTCTTATCAAAACAGATTTTCTGCTGGTAGCACGGAACTCTAGATCTGGTTAACACTGGCTATAAAGCCGTTCATATCAGAAGTATAGCATCTACTTAGTTCGGTTAACGAACGTAATTATGAGCAGAAGTATTAGTTTCCTTAAACCCGCGCTACGTACACATCGTATCGGCGAGCTTCAATATACGTTGTTACGTTAAATCGAACGAACTATAATAGCTCTGAGTTTTCTGCCACTTACCTCACGTATCAACGGCTCCGACAAACAGCCCACATATGATTTCCTTAGTAATGAAACACTACAATCACAGAAAGAGATTCATAATTAATCAGATGTTATATTTTACTAATACTTGATAGCTTAATGACCCCCCACCAATACATTTGCTACCTACTGAACAACCGAAGGGCAAACAACATGATACTACTGTTCCGTAATCATGTAAGCACCATCATGAAAAGCTGACTGAAGTCAACTGATAGAGTTTCCACTTGTTGATTAGCCTCTTGTAACTGATTATCGCCTATCGATACACCCTGACCTAAATCTGATTGAGTCTGAATTGAATAAAACGGCTGAAGAGTGTTCTGTCCACTCATGCGACGTTCGTCTATTTTTCGATAAGGGCCCTGAATTTTCCAGCTCATCCGACACTTCACTATGTACTTCTTGCTGTTTTTGTTAATAAACCAGGCCGATTTCACAGGACGTGCCTTATCCTAAGCACTAATGTTAACACTGCTGTTACTCTAAGGCGTGGTAGTATTTCGTGGATGCGCGCATACGTCCGTCTACGTTCGGTTCACGATATGCAGCGTCTCGTAAACTCCACGACAAATCGGCCGCACGGTTGAGAAATACTGGTCACAGTGTGATACGGCAATGCGACGTTCTGGGGGACGCCAGTGCCGTTGTCTCGATACCCAGTTAGGACAACTAACACCCGACTGACTCAGCGCGCGTTGTAGGAGAGGACAACACATTACCGGGAGAGGCGCTATCCGAAGGCGAATACCCTTGAGAAAGGGCAAAGAGGAAGGTTGCAGCTTGTTGGCCTACCGATCATCGAATGACGAATGCATCGCAGTATTATGAGCATGCAAAACTGTATAACCTGCTATAAAGGACAAAGACTGGACGCACGAGACACCGGCGGAAAGCTCCTATATCCGGAAGAAGGAGACGACAGCTGTTCAATATCGTAAACCAACTATGCCGTAAAATAAATACGCGGTCTATACTACTATATTTGCTAGCATTTTATAATTAAATCGGTAAAATAAATTTCCCAAAGGGCAAATTCCTCGTAGAATGATCCTATCTCTATTTGGCTACTTTTTGCGTTTGATTAAGCCCACCACAGCCAGGTGAGGTTATCGTGTGCGTTTCTGCCAGCGTTCTTCACCTATGTAACAGTTTGACCATATCAACGAACTGACATCGATGCACTTTATTATATCTATCATACCTGAGAAAATAAAAGCTAAACATATAGAAGAAATGGCTGTACCATGTTGTAATGTTATAACATTACCTTTATGGTGTATGGGTGACCGTCGTGATACCTTTCATATAGCTTGAATCGATCGTATATTGTATTTGAGCTGATGTGTGAATAATTATCAAATCCTCTTCGAAGAGCAGCAAACCCTTTTGAGCTGTCTCACGCCGACTAACCCAAAATAGTGAGCCCTGTTAATAAACTGAGTTCCCGTTTCACTACAGATCCCATTCTACTCACTGACAATATCTCTGAGGACCGCCATAAAGAACAATAATAATCTCCGATAGCGGTTAACACCAACAATAGCGACGGGAGGTAAAGCCGCCGCCGCCGCCGCCGCCGCCGTAGGTGTGTTTGAACTAATATAAGTGAAAATTCGGATAGTCTTGGCTATGTGCTGCAATAAGTGTCAACTAAAAGATATTGCCGACGACCACAAGTGGTTGAAGACCCAAACAGCATCGCTTCCTTTCTGAGACTTCGAGGATTTTCTTCATAGATAGCTTCGATTACCTTGTTGCGGAACTATAGAGAATCCTGCGCCTCGATCTAGCCAGGATTGCCAGTTGTCTTAGGCCTATTTGAACGTCGAATTACGATTGCGCGAGATCGTTATCGATTCATATTTTTTGCAACCATAATGTTTCATCTTGAGCTTAATGGCCTTCGTGTTAGGAAATTGTATCTTCGATAATTATTATGCACAGAAAAAGTCTACCCTGAGAGTGCTATAAAAGTATGCCAGATTTATCATGCCTCAGACGGGAATCAGTAATTGAAAATTATCTTTTTGTTACGCCACTAATTACTCAATGCCCAACGAGCGATAAAACACAACGCCAGATTTTGCCTGTACTCCCGAGGCTCATTGAGGAAACGAGGCTATTTCTTTTCGTCAGATAATTAACAGTCGGTATTATTTATACGCATTGTAAACTCACCGCCTAGACTAGGTAGAGGACAGAATACCCTTCAAACCATGGCAATTCAACAGTATTGAAAAAAAAAAACAGGCACATTATAACGTAATACATCTACGTGATGGCTACGAATGGACTATGGATTTACGGAAACGCTTCTAGCTATTTAGTTTTGATAATTAGAAATGTTTTGAGTAACTGCATTTCGAGAATAAATAAACAATATTATTATTATTATTGCTATTATCTTTCTACTGTTGCCTTTTGTCTAGGTCATATATTTAGGTAAAGGTTTTGAGCCTTAAGCCCAATTCCACCGTTAAGCTTTAGATATTGATTCCATTATCTGGATGTGTAGATTTCAATTTAACTGGATAATTTTCTGTAATTTATCGACTGGAAGAGCTCAACTAACATTCGTCGATTTCTCTTCCTTCGGAAAAGCCTTCAGTGGCTAAGTTATTAAAGTGAAGCAAGAATCACACACATCTAAACGCCAAATATATGCATTACATAATTGGGGTCGGCACAGAAGGGTGGGCGAAAAAACTAATGTTTTTTTTGCCATAACAGGGCCCGAATCTACATTGGCAAATTGTTGACTCTAAACTGGTAAATGCTACCAAAACAACTGTAGTTGTAACAAATGAGCGTTTCTTAGCTCTTCTCGAACTTTATGGTCGTTTATCTCAGCTAAGCTCCTGAATGCAGTTAGGTAATTCTGCGTTTCTGTTTGGGGTCACTTTATAGAGCGATTTCGCGTGCTGGCTTCAGATCTACCGCGTGCTTTCTATTTTGTCTCGCCTTAAGTCTTTGCTCTGGTTGATTGTAATATGTGTCGTTAACCCTTGCATCGTCTATTTTAATTTGTCTTACATGATGACACAGGGGAGCTGGCTAGAACTGCGGCATTGGCCGCTGGTTTAGGACTTACCAAATGATGCCGAACGTACGTGCCGCTTTTCCTATTTGTCGTGTGTCGTCATTGCTTTCGTGCGGTTCTATTTTGTAGATGCACTATTCGATGCGCCTGGCTCATTTCCAAACTTTGCCCCCGTCATCTCGCTTACCAGTCGTTTGTGGAATTCCTATTTCGTATCAGGATGCGCGATACGCAACTCGTAATGTTTCAGAATGATGTTATTCCTATAGCTTACCCTATTGAAACTAAAATGGGACCATTTTAAAAGAACGCAGGTTTACGAGAACAAAAAATACATCATCCAACTATAGTTGATACAACTTAACGCCGCCATACCGAATAATGCAGTCGTATGATTTGGGAAGTAGCAAAAAAAGGGAACCACGAAGGCTGGGCACCGTTTTTAAAAATGGACTGTTTGAAAGATGCCCAGTCAGCCTATTGATACAAAAATAGTAGGATATGCAAATTGAGTGCTTCCAACAAATATCGAGAGCAAGCGGCGCGTATTTAAGTCGCGCAATATTATTTCAGCTATCGCTACCTCGTGACCTTTCCGTCAGCCAAAATGAGCATAAAAAATACATTAGTTGGAAGTTTTTTTAGGTTTAAAGGATGTACTGTTTCCGCTATCTTGCTACACCGGAACTAGGTACAAGTTAAGTAGAATAGATTTATCTACCATACGTTTTCGGCTATAGCCAGAGAGCCGACTGGCGTTCGTGCGGTATTCTATGATTAATAAAGTATTCTTTAACGATCCAAGAGCTAGCGGGCCAGTTTACTGCGGCGATTATGGTAAACGATTCAACTTTATTATCCCTATAATAAGGTTGATTGATTAATAAGCTAATAAGTACAGTGTTTTAATTTAGATATCCCTGAAACTACGAAGGGCTACGCTGGATCTTCTAAGTTAGGTTAACTATTTTGTTTTTTAAGAGTAATCACACTTCTCCCAAAGGAGTCCAGAAGGCCGTACCCCTTCTCAAATGATTCAGCAGTGAGAGGTGAGCTCTCTAGCGGATTCTCCCGCCAATGTCAAGTTCGTGAAACTTCATCGTACTTTATCGAATTGGCTGGATCGGCAGAATTTTTGTCAGAGACAAACTTTACCAATAATTTCTGTTCAGGTCATACGTAAGTATGCCATATATGACAAGTCAATTTCCATTGGAAACTAGTGTGATATAAAGTGTAGTCGTCCATTATGCTCAACCTCAACTTCGAGGTTACGATTCACTACAGACTCATGTTTATTTTTTAGGAAAAGGATCATATGCCGAACATATCACTAACCTTCTTAATAGGCAAATGTCTCACATAATTACCTACGCAGCCGTGCTTACATTTTTAGCTTTATAAAAAGCACGAACAGGAACATATTAACGTGTTAAATTCGTTTGACAAAACAAGCGTTTCTCCATTAACTCCACAAAAACCTAGAATAAATAACTGTAATATAATACATTAAACAAACAATGTGTAAAAACATCTCCTTTCGGAAGTAATCTAATCATGGTTTTATTATTTAATCAATATCATGCTCTCAAAGTCTTGTCTAACGTTCACGACACCATTTCGAAGCCCTTATGTACAAGTTTCAGTTTTTCTCGATTTGGCCTTAAAAGCTTCATGCAAGTAATTCCGTTCATGTAACAGTAGCATGCGGGTTCACCATATTACTTCCAAACAATCATGGCTGTATAAGCTCTCCCATATGTATTTGGCCTCTACCTTGTTTCGTCGCCACCAATTATTGAGCTCTATAGAAAAAGTAAGTTCTCATGTAGAGGCGAGTCTTTTGGCATGCAAATCAATAGGATTAGAGTACCATAAATAAAAGCTTAAAAAAAACGAAGCCAGAAACCCATTCATATATCAATGACGGCGTTTCTCATCCAGGCCGTTGTCGTTTCATTAAGAAAAGTAACACTAGCATTGTGCGACGTTTTTCAAAATAGTTCCTCGTTTATTACCAAATTAAACATTCGGAAGACCGAGATCCTTCTATACTATATATATATATAGTATTTTTTTTTATGGTTTTATTAATAACGCTCGTCGTCCGGGCTCTGTAAGAGCTCTGTACTTCCTCGATGGAACACCTGTGAAGGTTAAAGTCGCTAACTATCTAATTTTGTGATCACCCATATAGCGGATCATGACTTCAGTATTACGAACATGAGCATTCGCACGTTCAGCGATAACTCGAAAATACATTCTGTGATTAATTTTAAACGCTTTTCAAGTAGGATTTCTCGAAAAGTTCTATGAAACGTCTCTTGACCCGCTGTAAAGAGTGCCCTGGGATGTATAAGGTGGAAACTCCACTCATCACAAATTACTATTTGGGGCTGCCTATTTGTGTCTATTACTTCAAAGGGATCTGTCGTTCATCTGTATAATTCCACTTCTGAAAATAAAAGAGTATTCTATACTTAATTCAAAGACGAGGCACGGTATCTGATGTCGTTGACGTAAGAAGTATTGCACCTTTCTCTACAGTGCTGATTAAATATGTCCTCTGTATTTCACATTTGATTATGGATCGCATATAAAAAGTTTAATTTTGAATAATTAACATTTTGCCTATGCGAATTCTACGCCTGGCACTAGAACCATTAACTATAGCCCCGGCATAAAGTGTGC